ACCTGGCCGTGTGTGTGTGTGTGTGTGTGTTCCTTTGTTTTGCTGTGGGTTGCTGGGTGATGGGACCAGCTGGGAGGGCTGAAGCCATTCACTTCCCTTCTGCTTCCCAACCTGGCCGCAGCATGAAGGGAGGGAGGGAGGGAGGCAGAGAGTGAGGGGTAGAAAAAGAATGAAGGGAGAGGAGGAAGAGGAGGAGGAGGAGGAAGAGGAGGACCAGGATGGAGGTGGGGGTTTGGTTTATGTTTCAATGCAAAGAGAAAGATGGAGAGGAAATAAAAAAACCATCAGACTGAAGAGAAGAAGCAGAGACGGTGGAGGTGGAGGAGCACGGAAGTTCAGGAAGCAGAGAAGACGAAAGGAAGGAGGGAAGGGTGGAGGAGAGGGAGAAGGAGGGAGTCAGTGTCAGCCTGAATCGTGATAGAGCAGCAGCGCTGACTCAGCCAGTCTGGACCGGTGTAGGAGGACGGCAGCAGCAGCAGTAACAGCAGCAGTAACAGCAGCAGCAGCAACAGCAGTAACAGCAGCAGCAGTAACAGCAGCAGTAGCAGTAACAGCAGTAACAGCAGCAGCAGCAGCAGGAACAGCAGCAGCAGCAACAGCAGCAGTAGCAGCAGCAGCAGCAACAGCAGCAGTAGCAGCAGCAGCAGCAACAGCAGTAACAGCAGCAGCAGTAACAGTAGCAGCAGCAGTAACAGCAGTAGCAGCAGCAGTAACAGCAGCAGCAGTAACAGCAGCAGTAGTAACAGCAGCAGTAACAGCAGCAGCAGCAGTAGCAGCAGCAGCAGCAGCAACAGCAGCAGTAGCAGCAGCAGCAGCAACAGCAGTAACAGCAGCAGCAGCAACAGCAGTAACAGCAGCAGCAGTAACAGTAGCAGCAGCAGTAACAGCAGTAAATCAGAAAAGTCTCTGGGGCGCCACCTACAGGAGACTCTCAGCCCTTATCCAAAGCACCTTGACGTTAGGTTTAATCCTGTGACTCCACATGAACACCTCGGCACCTTGACCTCTCTGACCTCTTCAATGTTTCATACACTTCAGGCGTCGTGTCGTAGCAGTTTCTAAACGACGCCACTGTCTCCGAGGTCAGAAGAGGTCAAAATGGGGTCAAAACCCAAAAAAAAGTCCCTGTTTGTCATTAGCAAAAAGAAAAGAAAATGACTCTTTGTTGACGACCTGGAGGACAAGTCCCTGTTTGTCATTAGCAAAAAGAAAAGAAACTGGAGGCCCAACTCTTTACAGGACAAGGAAATGTGAACATTTCCAACGAGCGTGTCACGAAAATTCATCCTCTCTTGACTTTTGTAGGAAGTGACAGCTTTACTGCCCACTGTTGCGCAAATAAAAATAAATAAAACGCCTGTTTGAGCGTTCATCATTTTCACCATAGCTTTTCTTTCCCGCTCATTTTGTCCTTCATCTTGGACGGTTTTGAAACTTGTGGTCATCTGCTGCAGCGGCTGAAAAAAAAAACTGATCAAGAACGAATGTGATTAGTGGTCTCTCGCAAGAACAATTTGCCTGTCACTCATGGCAACAAACTGGCTGCTGGGAGAGAATTATTTTTGAAACCATTTTTTTTTTTTTTTTCATAAGCGGCAGGGACATAAGAGAGCAGAGAAAAAGAAAATGTCTGGCTGCTGCGCTCTGAAGCTGCTTCCTCGTGCTGCGACTTGTGAGCCAGCCCAGTTTCCCTCCAAGATTAATGACCTTCCTGTTTTCAGCTACAGTATCTCTCTCTCTCTCTCTCTCTCTCTCTCTCTCTCTCTGTCTCTACACTTTTCTCCGCTCTTCAGTTCATCTCGAAGTGCACTTCGAAAAAAAAAAACTGCTGCAGAAAATTCTACTACGGCAACAAAAGCACAGACGTTGTTTTGTTCTGCAGACTTAGTTCCACTGAGATCGGTTCCAGTGCAGTCAGAACTACAGTAGGATCTCCTGCAGTGTTTTAGACAACATTGATAACTGATGTGGGGGTTAAAAGGCCAACCCTGAAGTGCCCCCCCACTCCTCCTTCACTACTATTCCTCGTGCTTGCCTGACCTTTTTATTTTTTTTTTTTAGGGACAGATACTAAAGCCTTGAAGTACGAGCATGTGTTTCAACACCTGGAGCTTTGAACCAGGTCTGTAGACCAGCGTTTCCCAAAAGCTTTTTTTCTGGACGGACCCGTATTTGAAAAGTCACAAACCTTCACGACTCAAGTCAACAGACTATTCATCCATTATTATTATTATCATTATTCATTATTCACAAACTCCGACCCAAAACCCCAAGAAAAAAACAAAAAAAACCTCTTGTGACCCACCTGAGGGTCGCGACCCAGTCTTTGGGACACAAGGCTTTAGAGCCATCGATAAATGGGTCAGTAGATGGATGGTTGGATGGAAGAGAGAGAGACAGAGAGAGAGAGAGAGCGAGAGGTGTGTGCGGCATGTCTTACTCCAGTGTTTCACACACGTCTCCAGTGTTTGTGCTGATTTCTGCTCTTTTTCTGTTTTGGAACGTGACACAGGACACAGTGGCAGCGCAGCCGCGACAGATAACAGAACTTTTTCAAACCTTTTTTACCCGTAAAAAAAAAAAAAAAAAAAAAGCGGGAGACAGAAACTTGTTGCTGCGGTGAGACATAGAGAAAGACAGAGAACAACAACTTCTTTTCCTGTAAGTCACCTGACACTGGAGGTCCTCCCGTCCTCCCCCTCCTGTCCCTCTCTCTTCCTTTCTCTACAGCTACACCGTCTGCGTTGTTCTTCCCTTGGTCTTAGTCCAGGTCGACGTCGTGAAAATTTAAAAGTTTCCTCTGGAACAACCCCAGAGTTTTTTTAAGTCGCGTGAGGAGCGGCCTTCACGGGTGACTTCCTGTGACCAAGGAAGTCGTGTGTGATTTGTTGATGCGTTTAATCAAAGAGTGAATTACTGTTAAAGTTATAATTCCCTGTATAATCACTGATTGAACAGCAGTTAGTCATAATTTAGTTAAGAGGAAACACAGTTTCGCAGCGTGTTTCGCACTCTTACCTTGTAGCATTGGTTTCCAAAGTTGGGGGGTGAGGCCCCCCTGGGGAGTGCTTTATTAATTCTGGGGGCGACGCTGCAGGTAAATGACTTTTGTTTTTTTTTGGTGCTAGTTTTTAGTGGTAATTACAGTTTAAAATAATAATTATTATACATTATAACTGATGGAACTGATTACGTACAGTTTTTTGAGCAGTAGCTGTGGCTGTGTTATTGGGGCAGTTGATAATAGCGCCCCAGGGCGTCGGGGCACATCGACAAGGAACAAGGAAAAGGAGAGCTTGAAATTGAAGTTCATCTGGAGTTTATAGCAATATTCCTATCTACCTAAGGGGGGCGCTGTAGAAAACGTTCAGGTCAAGCCGCCCTGAGCTGTTTTTGCCGCAGCAGCTGACGACTTCTTCAAACCCCGTGACACATTCATCACCGTGGTTCAAGCAGAGGTCTCCGACGCCCTCGTGGACACAGCGGTTCTTTCGTAACTCCTGTACGTTCGTCTAATTGTTTATTAACTGCTAAGACTAATGAACCTCTGCAGCAGCAGCAGCAGCAGCAGCAGCAGCTTCAGGTGTGTCCCATTAATGACAGGTTGGACACGTTGTCGCACAACTGTACAGAGTATGTGGTTTTTTGTGCACCGCTGGATTTGTCTGAGTGAAAGTGACGGAAGCAGCTGAACGAAGGCGTGCGTTTGTGTTTGTATTAGCAAAAAAAAAAACCAACGATGACTACGGTCCTGGATCAGAGTGGGAACAGTTCCCTGACCTCAGGTTCACACCTTCATTTAATGTGTGTTTCTCAGATAATGACCATTATTTTATCCTGAGATCATTGACCTTAATACACAGGTGTCAAACTCAGGCCCGCGGGCCAAATCTGGCCCATGCTGTAATGATATTATGGAGCATTTAAATTAAAAAGAAACTCAAAAGACTAGAGACAAAGAGAGAGACATAATAACAAACAAATCCCACTGATGTGTGTCTCAGTTTAAATTTAAAGACTGTGTATCTGGTGTTGGGTTCAGTCCCGTCCTGAGAGAAAACTAGAGTCAGTCTGAAACATGCAAACTTAAGTAATGCAGTTTTATTTGCATGGCGGAAAAAACAATGAGTCAAACACAGGTTCCACATAAGGACGTTTTAACTCAGGCTGTCAAAACTGACACGTTGACTGTGATTATTAGTTGGTGAAAGTGAATGAAAATATGATTTCATAATTCACTTGTTATTTACACACACTGCGGGGAAAACAAAGTTTTCATTTCACCGAAGCTCCTTGAGCTTAAAACACCGTCTGGTTTCCCAGCGTGTGTTCGTGGAGGTAAATCTAACACAGACCTTTACCTGATGGTGTTTTCTTTTTTTTTTCTTGCGTTTTAAACTCCATGGATGAGCTACGTTTGTATTGCGTTGGTATGATGTCACGCCACCATCTGGTCAACAAACCAGGCGGGAGCCAATCCCTGCTGTCCACAGACGAGGGCGGGGCCACAGCCTGGACAGTTCACCATCACAGGGAGACAAACAACCAATCACAGTCACGTTCACACCTACGGTTCCAGTCCAGTCCACCTCAGGGTCACGTTTTGTTTTTATCAATAACTTCCATCTCCACTGGATCTTTGTAAAAAGAACAGACTTTTTTTTTTCTTTTTTTTTGGTCCGTGTCCAGTTTTGTGCAGAATCACGTTCACGTTGTAAACGGGATCATGACACTTCATCAAGGGCCGGCGTTGCAGCTGAGACAGGAGCGGTGAGGGCGAGGGACAGACGGGCAGTGATGGATGCACATAAAGAGACAAAAGAGAGTGGGGGGGGGCGGGGGGGGGGGGGGGTAGAGACAAAAAGAAAGG